GCTCTGCCATTCCTCTTGGTCTTCCTGCCAGTCATGGCTATGTGTGGGGAGGGGCCGTTGCTGGGAGTGGCTTTTCCTTACCTAGAAGAGCAATGACCTGACGCTGGCCCTCACTCACTTCTTCAGGATGGTGTGCCACACTGCTCTGGCGTTCCCAGGTTTCTGTGGTCACACATACTGTTCCATAACAGCCACACGTGCTTCCACCCCGCACCACACCCCTTGTGCACACTGTGACGTTTTTCCTTCACCACGGCCCTTAGATAGAGGCATCCTGGGTCCTTTCCTAGGCAAGGAGTGGGGTTCTGAGTGCGGAGGAGCGACAGCAGTGTGAGTCTCAGCTTCTGCCTGACCTGACTGTGACGTGGGAGTCTCAGGTGGCAGCACAGAGGGTGGCCAGCAAGCTGTGTTTCAGTCTTCTTTAAGTGAAGCCCTGTAGATATTCGGGATGTCCCTATACATTAAATATTGTGGTGGAGAAAAAGCAAAGTCCTTGTGATACTGGGTATTCTTTCCATGTGTCCTAGGAAGTCTTATGTACCCTGGCTGAGGAGCAAGGGTCCCCAGCTGCTCACGTGCAGCTGCAGCTGGCAATGTGGCCAGCCCCGCTCCTCTCATGTGGCAAAGCCTCAGTGTGTTTCAGGAGGACATCACAGGACAGCTCAGCACGCAGAGAGCACAGCTAAAACTGCTCTGAGTGTAGTAATGACAGTCGTCTCAAAGAACCGCATCGGCCAGCAGGTGGCGTGTGGTTAAGGTGCATGTATGGCCGGCTGCATGGTTTGAGTCCTGAACCCGGTGACTTGAAAAAAATGCACAGAGCACATGTGTGTGTGTGTGCCCAAAATTGTGAGAGGAGAATGGTGGAGAAGGGGTTTTGCTGTGGCCAATGCCCCAGGGGGTGATTTCTCACTTTCCCTCTCTCTCTGGTGAGTGCTGTAATCTTAAAAAAAACCGGCATCACTTAGAGTTCTGATCAGTAGATGGGTGTGTGCATGTTATATACACACACACACGCACACATATGTTTTACACACATGCTATATGTATGTGCACACATGTTATGCACACATGTTTTTATATATGCATTACATGTATATGTACCTATGTTATATATTCAGTGTTTTATGTGTTATGTGTATGTGTGCACATTATACACACGTGTCTTGCATGAATGTGTTACATATATGTATGTGGTGTGGGCACATGTGTGTTTTACATAAACTTGTGCTGCGTGCATATGTACACGTGTTGTGCACACATGTGTTTTGTGTACGTGTGTTGCCTGTGTATGTGCACGTGTTACATGTAGTACAGGTCCCGTTTTACAGCATCTGTCTCCTGCTGCTCAGGGGCCAAAGCCCTCACCCGAGCTCCCTTGCAGGGAAGGCGTGCCTGAGCTCCAGTTAAGTGCTGCTCTTTCCCCACCCTCTGGCTCTTGTCTGAAATTCCACTCTAAGAGCTTCTTTTTAGTTAAAGCCTCAATCTCTAATAAAATGAGAATGCTCCCTAAATAGGAATTATCGAAGTTGTTCTCTGTTAGGTACAAACAACTGAAGAGAAGGCAAAACAACATGAGGATGACAGGGCCATCGAGGGAGACGAAGTCACAGAACGGGAAAACTGGGGGCCGGGGGCCGGCGGGCGGGGAGTGGGCAGAGGCTCTGGAAGGCGGGGCCTGGAGGGAGGAGGACTGACGCTCAGGGACAGGCTTGGGGTGACTCTGCCCTGAGGTGGGGAGGCCGCGCCACCTTGGTTCTTCCAGGAAGCAGGGCCGCGGGGCAGCGCCCAGACCTCTGCTGCCTCCTTGCCAGGACTGGCTGCCGGCCACATCACCATGCTGATCTTCGGAGACGAAGCCCGCAACCACTTCGTGGTGACCGGCCAGGTGGTGGAGGACGTGCGCTTCGCAGAGAACGTGGCGAAGATGAACGAGGTCATCCTGTCTCCAAACTGCTGGCAGCTCTGTGACCGCAGGATGATCGAGATCGAGAGGTTCAAAGAGCACCGGGCAGCCAAGGTGGGTGTGAGGCCGCCGCGGCCGTTCTCGGTCAGGGCCAGAGCGGTGGCCGGCCGGCCTTCTGCTAAGGAGGCCACGTCCAGGACGGCGTGCCTGGGGGCGCGAGGAGCTGAGGGCAGGCTTCGCTGAGGCGCTGCATTTGGGGACTAGTGACTGGCTTAAGGTCAGGAGGGGAGGGGGCAGGAGGTGACAGCCGGGACTCCCCGTGGCTCTGTGTGGTGGAGAGCAGTGTGGCCAGGTGAAGGCCAACCACACAGAACTGTCCCAGGCTGTCAGGGCCACCGCGAGGGAGAAGCAGGGCTGCATGGCAGAGAGGGGATGGGACTGAGCAGCAGAGAGAGATAGAGAGACAGAGAGACAGAGCAGGAGGAGCCGGGCAGCCCACACCCTCTGGCCAGCCAGCCCTGCTTGCCCTGCCAGAGACTTCCGGGCACAGGAGCCCGAGCACAGCTCTCCCACTCCCCGCCTTCGCAGTCACTCCCCACGCCCTCAGAAACCGTCTTAATCTGGGGACCAGCAGGTAGCACAGCGGTTATGTGGCTGGACCCGCACGCAGTCGACCGTGGTCTGAGCCCCAGACCCCGCAGCTCAGACCGGGCGTGTGTGCGCGCAGTGCCCCAAACCCCGAGAGGAGAATGGAGAAGGGATTGGGGGTGGCCCTACCCCGGGGGCGACTTCTCGCTTTCTGTCTCTGTCTCTCTGTTCCTCTGGTGAATGCACATGCCCTTTAACAAAAATTTCTCTAAAAAGGAAATTGCTTTACTTTGGAATCAATTGCGCGTTGCCATTCACTGACTGAGGGCCATATTTGGGCTTCTCGTTTCCAGCCGGGTCCTTCGTGGAAGGCTGCAGGGTCTCTGCGTGTCCTCCCACCGCAGTTGGTGCCATTTTTACTGCTTCCCACAACCCGTGAAGTCTGTGGTCTCTTCTGTCTTTATGACCTTGACACGTAAGAAGACGGCAGATCGGGCATTTTGTCAGCTGCCCTTCCTTCTGGCGTTACCTGATGTTTTCTTATCTCGGGACTGCGTTCGGGTGGCATGAATACCAGAAAAGAGGTCGCAGCATGCTCAGGGTACACATCAAGGGCTCGCGGCCTTGTCACCGCCCAGGACGCCGCAGCGTGGTCCTAATACCCGATACGTTTTTCGGTGTCAGACCCTTCGTCCTCTCTCTTTTTTTTTTTTTTTAGCTTTTCTGCTTTAGGGCCCGTACACTCTCCAGAGAGAGAGGGACAGTGAGAAATTCCTCCTGAGGGACACCGTCCAGAGAGAGGACAGTGAGAAATCCCTCCTGGGGGAGGATGGCCACACCACAACCCCCTCTCCTCCATGGATTTTGAGCACCCACACACGTGTGCCTAGCGTGTTTCGGGCCTCTGGGTCCAGGACTTGAACCACAGAGTTGGCCATGTGAGATCCAGTGCTTTAACCACCATGCCACCTAGATGACCTTCTTTTTGTCCTTTAACGCTTATGAAAAAGCAATGACGTGGGGCCAGCCGGTGTCATGGTAGTTAAGGTGCTGGACTCCCACACGGGGCACTGTGGTTCTAGTCCTGGACCTGGCAGCTTGCTTTCTCATTTCCCCCTCCCTCTCCCTGTCTCTCTCTGGTCAAATAAAATAATAAAAGTAAGTAAAATTAGATCGATAATTCTTTAAAAAAGGCAAGAAAGGATATACCATTAAGCAGGTTTTATTTACATTAAAATGTGAAGAGGGCAGAGCAGAGAGAAGTTTCAAGGGTGGGGAGTGTAAGGGCCAGGCCCCAGAGCGGCCCTGAGTGTGCGAACTCTGAACGCTGAGGTCCTAGTGAACGACTGGAAAGACTTTCTGCAGTACCTTCCGTACACTCTCACGTCTGGGAGTCAGACGTCGGTGTCTAAGTGTGACAGTCACCGTCTGCCACTCCTAGTCATTCGGAAGAGGCTCTCTGACGCTCTGCTGCAAAATGACACTTGGAAGGGACCAGCAGGTGGTGTGGTGGTTGAGGGGCTGAATTCCACAGGGCTGATCATGGTTTGAGTCCCGAACCCAGTAGTATGTAAAAATCACACAAATATATATATATATATATATTTTTAATTGCACTTGAAGAATCCGACAAGCCTTGGAATTTTATTTTATTTTATTTAGGTGGCTCTCTTAAAACTACCCTCTGGCTTCAACTTTGACGACTTTTTCAACAAGTGTATGACCTTCATGAATTACTATCCTAGCGGTCAACGCAAACGTGAGTGTCCTTCGTGGGTGAGGGCTCGGCCTCCACCCGCAGCGACACCGCCCGGCCAGGGCCTGAGGCTCCCTGGCGAGTGGCAGCCCCTCAGCGCCTGCTGGCCTCCAGCTTCCCGCAGAGCAGGCCCCAGCCTGGCTTCCACTCCGCACCCTCCCGCACCCACTCCTTGCCCCTGTGCCATTTGCCAGTGCCCTCCGTGACCACAGAAACCGGGCTTCCTCGGATCCCATTTCCCTCCCGACCTGCAAGAGCGTCCTCAGAAGTGATCCGTGTCGTGGCCAGCGCTGTCCTGGGTGCCCTCACGTATCCGCTCAGCAGCGAACACGCACCCCCGTGCTCCTTGGGGCTGCCGGCCCTTCGGCGCGTGCGCTCACCCCCAGGTCCTCCCCCGGCAGGTGGCCGCTCCTGCCCCTGCCCCGTGTCCGCCCACCCTCACGTGTTGGTGCCCGCAGGGACCCGCCCTGACCGGCTCAGCCTCTCTGCTCACTTCATGGGGAGCCACTCACTTGTGCCGGGCGGGGCACCGAGTGTGAGAGACGCTTGCGCTTGTGCTCGGCGGCTGGCCCAGAGTCAGCCTGCGTCGTTACCGGTTAGCTGCCCAGCCGGGGCGGGGCAGGGGAG